GCATCGTAGTAGCATTTACGTACGAGGCTGGGAATCATGTGTTAGCTCGTAAATGTCCGTCGAAACGATTTGCCCGCGAGCTTGCAATCGACTAGCTATTCTCGTTTGGAATCTCTGTCCGCGACTATGGCGATCGCAATCGCTACAAGGAGGGCTGGTCAAAGAGAGAGAGAGAGAGAGAGAGAGAGAGAGAGAGAGAGAGAGAGAGAGAGAGAGAGAGAGAGAAAGAGAGAGAGAAAGAAAGAAAGGGAGAGCAAGAGAGAGAGAGAGAGAATGAGAGAGAGAGGGAGTGGCAATTTAACGATATTTAATTGTCACCGAAACACGAACGGTAATTGAATAGATAAAAGCGCAGTAACTGTTACGAGAGGACCTCGTACTAACACGTACCATTTACCTTCTCTCTGCTCGATCCCTGCTCTTAACCCTATCCCTTTCTTTTCTTTCGTATTTAGTATATTTATAGTTGATTGTGTTCTCGTTAGACTAGAATATATCTAGAAAAAAAAAAGAACGAAAGAAAGGAAGAAAGAAAGACAGACAACTGTAGGATTAATGCTAATGTTAATATGATATTTTCATAAATTGAGATTTAATTGAAATATCATCATGCTGAAAACTCGAGAAAATTAGAAGGTTATAAGCTATTAATATCTTTCGCAACGCTTAATAAAGTCAATCCACCAACATGTATCATGATTACGGGAAATCGCTGCATTCCCCGATGGGAAAGTACTGATTTTCAAGGGTATATTTTAGTACGTCACGCGATAAGAACGAAACTTAATTATTCCGCCCACGCGCAATTAACTATTCAGGAAGTTGGATCGTCGCTTACCTTCTTCGCTATCGTAATTTATAGCAGAACGGACCGATTAATAACGCGCCAACAATTATATTACATTCTTAAAACAGGGATTAAAATTTTATCTGGCGATTAAAACTCACAAATAATAAAAATTCTCATTCGTTAAGGAAATTTACGAATCATTTGAAAACGAACGAAATCAAACTAAACGACGTTCGAATAGTATGCACACTTTGTTAAAATTATCGATCATTTAATGGAACGTTTTCGTTTGATCGAGTAACCCGATGTCGCAAATATTTTCGAACCTTTCAACGACGATAAAACTAAATCGTACGTATTGCTAGGATATACGAGATATTGATTTTGATGAAGACAATGTAGGATAACATTTGTTTCCCTTCTTTTCTATTTCTTCTCTCTCTCTCTTTTTTTCTTTTTTTCTTTTTTTGTTTTTTTTTGTCTTTCCTTTCTTTTTTTTGTAAGCAGAAGTCTTACTGACCGATCCGTCCAAGTGTGTATAAAGATAAAAAGTAAAGCAATCCGGTGTGGATTTTGCCTTCACTGATTACACCTTATCGATTAGTTTATTTTTCCATCTCTATTGTTCCTTTTCTCTCTCTCTCTCTCTCTCTCTCTCTCTTTCTCTCTCTCTCTCTCTCTCTCTCTTTTTTCTCGTTCGCCCGATGTACGATAACGCTGCCCATTTATCCGTTACATCATAATTTATATTACTAAGATTCGTCGTAATATTCCTGAGACATAACATCATTACACGCCTTCGTAAACACGTGATCTTTCAAAGGAACACTCGGCCTGATTTTACATATCGTCTTTTCGTTATCGCGATTATTTAAATTCTATCCGTATATGAATATTATTTATTATGCGTATAAATATTTCTATTAACGGCCGAACGAAAAGCGAAAGAATATTTTCAACGTGTTTACGAGAACTCCGAAATCTATCGACTTTAATCAGTGTACGTTCGTTTAATCGAAACTAAAGAGGTTGAGCATTGTTCAGAAACAAATTCTCATAAATAATCTGAACTAAAAGAAAATATTGCTAGCTTATTTCCATCGTAATGACACAATATTACTCTCTTACTACGGTTGATTATAAATAATGCGATAATAGATTGGACTGTCTCGTTTCTAAGCTGGCCGCTCGTTTATCAGTAACATTAAGAGTTTCGAAAATACTTGCTTTATGAGAGCGTTGTCATCGAGGAAACCAAAAATATCGTGCCATTGTCCTTCCTTTTAATCCCAACCATCCCATAAATTTTCCCGTTCCGAATACATTAAAACCACGCAACAGACTTAGTAACACCTGCGATCGAGCTTTTCGCGCATTCCTTTTTCATTTTTCTTTTCTTTCTTTTTCTTTTTTCTTTTTTTCTCTTTTTTTCTCTTTCCTCTTCGAAACATCGCAATACCACCAGCTTAGAGAATTTCTCACGGAATTATATCACTGGCTGATGATTTATTCTTGACTTGACATTCTTTTTTTCATTTTTATATAATATATATAATAAATACACACACACACACACACACTCACATATATATCACTTACCATACGATCCAGAGACAGCTAGGATGAAGGAGTGTACCAAAAGAAACAAGCAGCTCGCGAAGAGGTTCTTACGTTGGATCGTGACCATCTTGCCCGGGAAACGTCTGTTGTATACTCGAAGAATGTTACATATATCGATCATAAAGACCGTGTGGAGGAGGGGATCGATTTATAGCTCGCACATAAACACCTTGCAATCTGTCTTGCTACTATCATGACGATCACGACAATGACGACGACGACGAGGACAACGAAGGTGACGACGACGATGGCGACGACAATGGCAACAACGAGAACGCAACTTCGAAAACTAAAAATCGACATGATCGATTTTTAATCTGTTAACCGAAGATGACGAGTTAACTCGTCACGAAGTTTTCTCTTCTCTTCTGATAAAGTTATTTTTTAATAAATAAGTTATTATTTAATAAATAAGTTATTTTTTGTTTTCTACTATTACTAAACAAAAAAAGGAAAAAAAAGAGGACATTCTATGTCCGAATTTTTTATTTTACGATACATTAATTTATCAAAAATTTGCTATTCTTGTCCCAAAGATATTATTTTTAATCAAAATAAATTTCATATATCCATCATTTACCATTTTAAAATCTCCATCGGTTTATCGGTTTCGTTTAATATCGTTTTTCATTCAAAATGAATAACTTTACGTAAAAAATAAAATTTGTATCCCGTTCAAAAATTAATATAATTATTATTTATTCTTTTCTGAAATGTTATAACTTGATTTTTTAAATTTATCTTAACGAACAAAGCCGATCTTAATTATTTATCGTGCATGAATATTATGATTTCGAAATTTGGTCGTATAAAATAAATCGAATCAGTGGAATATTAATACTTTATTAGAATTGTACCCATCATTCCATATATATGAGGCGATCATTATTATATGTTTAGCTCGGTAATGAGTTGGAACAGGAATCGTATTTATTTTATGTTTTACAATATAATCGGTAATAATAGTAATAATAATAATAATAATAATAATAATAATAATAATAATAAATAATGAATAAATAATGAATAAAAATAATAATTATTTTTTATATCTATAACATTTAATGGATATTTAATTATTGGTACAAAAAGTAATAACACACGTTAGAAGAATAACAATTTCGTGTAAAATTGACGATAAATAACTAAATTTTACTGAAAAATTTCAAGAACTTTTACATTGTTTCTGTTAAGACGTAGTCGAAGTGAAAATTTAAGAAAATAAAAAGAACTAAAAAAGTGACTCAAGAGCATTGTTCTTGACGGGCCTTGACGAGCATTAATACAAATAGATAAGAATTATAAAATTATTTTAGTTGTAACTCTCTGTTCGATTGTAACGCTCTATTTAATATAATAAAATTCTTTATAATATAATTCTTAAGTCGCTAATATTTCGGTATTTCTATGAAATTTAATTGATAAATTAATTTACTTACCTTGGATAAAGAAAGATACATTTAGAACTTACGTTTAGAAACTATAAGAATTATACAGCCTGTCTTCTTAAATTATATATAAGAGATAAAACGAGTAAATCCGAGTTATTTGCTAATTAAATTATAGTGTTGATCATTCAATCACGTGAGATAAATATGACATTATATCAAAAATTTTCAAGGATTTCTAAATTAGTTATATCGAGAAAGATTGTGTAGAGTTAGAATGAAAAAAAAAAGAAAAAAAAAGAAAAAGAAAAGAAAAGAAAAAAAAAGGAAACGAGAAATGAATTTTTTATTTCGAAGTAAAACTTAAATCTTATATCGGTAGAATTCTCGTGAAAAATTCTTTTCGACTTATCTGTTACATCCTGTCTTACGTTTACTTTTTCGAAACATGCCCACGAAGTTTCTCTGAAAATTATTTTTCTACTTGCAGAGATAAGTCAGGTCAGTCTCTTGGGATACATTGCGAACATACGATGATGAAGAAAATCTTGAAGTTTTCTTCGTGGCGTTACTATCGTCGTCTTTCTACTTGTACATCGAATCGTTATAATATAAAGCTAGCTATATATGTTCCTGTAGAATTTATCACGAGCGACGATTTTGTATATGACTTTAACTTCTCGTGTTATCCGTGAAATTATATCGACTTGCTCGATTAAATCGACAAAGCAATAAAGTGCAACGGATAAGACGGTAATATTCCACGTATATATACATAGCACGTATGAGTATACGTGCGTGCGCACTTAAACACAGGTGTGTATATATATATATATAAATATATATATATACATATAATGTACGTGGAATAAGTACACAAAAATGCACCGGTAGATTTAATTGTACGGTATGTCCAGCCGCCGTGCAGTATAACGATTCACGGAATTACACGCGAGTAATAAGCAAAGCGAACTTGCCCCAAGCCACTCGAGAGATTATTTTTACGGTACGGTTTCTACGTAGCGACGACTGCACCACTCCTATCTTATGCCTTGTGAACATTTATTATTTGAAATTTCCAAGTACACGTTTACATACACGTGTACTTAGATATAAGTCGTAAAATTACGAAAACGAAGGTCCAGATAACGTTTATAATTTACATTGTGTTAAAATTGAATTATTATTTTTTATTATTTCAGCCGACGATTTTCGGGACAGTCGCCTCGGACCTGAATCCGAAGGATGGCAACAGTCGAAGGGTGAGTAGTTTCTTTTTTTTTTTTTCTTTTTTCTTTTTTTTTACTTTCTTTTTTTCTCTTTCGTATTTTCTTATCTCTTTATTTCCTGTATAATACCTCTACAGTTCATTTCGATTTGTTTCAAGTTGTTCTCTTAATTCGAAATCGAGATTAATCTTAAATCTCTTGGGATGATCTCTTAGTCGATCTATATAACTTTTTCCATTCAATGAGAAATATAAAGAGATAGAGAGGGATGGAATATCTCAACACGGTGCAGATTTTTGTCTGTTACGGGATAGAGAAGGAAAAATCTCATGGGATCTTTTTCTTGTTTAATGAGTAAAAATTGCTGCTAAGTCGCTGTTGTACTCACTAACCGTAAGATAGACCAGTCGGTCTAATTAAAAGTAACAGCCGCAGAAAAGTCTACCCTTCTGCGATGAAGAACTTTCACTCCCTTTTCTACGTGATCTTTAACGTCGAAATTACTGTAAATTCAGCTCTTCCCTTTCTCCTAATTTATAATCGTAAAAGAACTAGACGAGGGTGCATTTTCATTTTGAAAATTAAGATCTTCCTTTGTCAAAAGCTTATCAGTAGATATGGTATAACTTGAAAATTTTTAACTATCGGGAATCCTAACTCTCTATCTCTTTCTTTTTTTTTCTCGTTAAGAAATGATCACGTTACTTTGTCATAAAGAATAATATTATCATAACGGTCAAAAGGAAAGCTAATTTAATCAGAAGCGACCGACGTAAATTTCGGTCAAAAGAAAGTTTCGTCGAAAGCTAAATACGCTTCTTGTATTATAATAACGATGATGATTATTCCGCTATGAATAATCGTTTCTGGTGAACGTTAACAACGTCCCATGCGTACCCTGCAGCTAATTAATCACGGTTTCGTCGATATTTTCATTGTATACACACGGCACAACAGCTTTTATCTGCCGTCAAGTCCGTTACATTGTAAAATTAATTGCGCCCCGTTCCCTAGCTAATATTTTGATGGTTTTTAAAAATAAAAGAAAAGAATTAAGGTATTTCGATGGTGAGGCACGTTTATAATGTAGGTGATTCTTCATCCGAAAAGTAAGGATATTTTTGATAACCGGTTTAATCCTATTCACGTTAAAATGAAAACATCGTTATATCTTTATGTTTTTTTTTTCGTGATACTTTTAACGTGAAATTGAATCGTTAATAATCGATAACTTTGATAGATAATTCTGCTTAATAATTATTTTCTTGTTTTCTTTTGATCAAAGTAATAACAAAAGGAAAAGAAAAAAAATAAGAAAATAGAAAAAAGAATTTGAACTGTGACGTATTTTCTCTACGTGCTAAATAAAATGCAACAAAACGTATAATGACAACGCGAGTCGAAAATCGAGGTAAACGTGATCTGCGTATATTATCTCACGTTTCCAAGATAGTATTTCATAAATATATTTGATACATATCGATGTAGAATGAACTCGGGGAGAAGTATGATGAACATATTTTAGTTGGAGAGACGAACGAGTTTCGCAATCATTGACGTGAGATCGCTACAGAAAATGAACCCATACACCAATATGATTACTGTTGTAACCGTGTAACATGCCTCGCAAGAGATTTTGCCGTGATGCGTTTAACGTAATGGAAGAACAAGCATGACGGCGATTGCAAGGTACCGCACAACTCGATTAATATGGAACCAACCGATATTTGCTAACATTCTCTGGAATATTACCATAGAACAAATAAAGTTCGATTCTTTTCTCGAATAACTGCACCGAAACATACGATAAAACGATGAAAGTCAATATTTAACAAAAAAGTGTATATATTTCGAAAATTGTAGAAAAATGATCGTTTTCGTAAAATATGAATTCTCTTTGTGCTATATTATATACTATATATATTATATACTATATATATATATATATATATATATATATATATATATATATATACATACATACATATTAGTCGATTTTATTTTATCAGAAATATATTTTGAATATACATATATATATATATATTTACGTGTAGAACCCTTTATATATATTTGCTATATGACAGAGAAAATAAATGAAATACGTGACGTACTATAGGATTCTAACAAATTAACAATCTTTAGATAACTATGTTTTCGAGATCACTATATAAAATGAGTAATGAAAATGTGTCATGTAATAAATGAGTCAAGGATATTTGTCATACGGCATATAAGCGTGTTTTGATGTTAGTTAATATATTAGTATGAATATATAGAAATATATGTGTCTGAAAAGTATTTTTTAATAATAAGAAATGGAGAACGAGAATAAAGGATTGCTTGTTGTATTATAGAATTGTATAGGGTCGTAACCATTTTTATGGGCATTGCATTAAATCGCATATAGAGTCGTAAATTCTATTTTATTAAATATATTATTATTTCTTTGATATCACTGAAATATGTCATTTACAGAATCCTTAATTTATACAGTATATTTTGTTATTTATTTTCAATGTGAATTTTTAATGGTTTCATTGTAGTGTTCTTTCGATTGCATTAGTTTACTCTCTTACTCTCTTTTTCTTTTAGTTTTTTATATTCGTTCGTAAAGAGTCTTTGAGGAAGGAAGATGCGGGGAGAGGATTTTTTTTTTTAGAGAGGAAATGAAACGAAAAAGAATTCTTTTCTTTCGTATGAGAACGAATGCCAGAAGGCTCACAGTTATTTAAGCGTAGCTCGCGTATCGTGCGAGCGGAAATCGACAGATGCAAGACTTCTTTCGGGTTCGAGGCATCCGGATGGAAAAGGATTGTGAAAGAAGAAAGGCGAGAATAAGAAAGCCGAAAAAAGACGGGAAAGGATAAGAAAGAGTAGGAGAGAAATACGAAAGCGGGTGGCAAAGAATTCGATGAAAGATTTTCACGTCATATTTGTCGAAGGTAAATATTATTACCTTTTTACCGGTACAAATCAGAATGAACGTGTTTATATTTCTTATTGTGAAAATGTATGCAATAAATGTTCCAATTGAAATATTAAAAATTAATGAATAAAGTATATTTACTAAGAATTTAGATTGTATATTTATTGTGATATTACGTTTTCAAATTATATAATTTTTTATCTTTATAGAAATCTCTCTCTCTCTCTTTCTCTCTCTCTCTCTCTTTCTCTGGCGCGTCACATGAATTTTTTTATCATTATTGCAACCGATATTGTTTCGAGCAAGATTATTTCGCATTATGATAAACAAAAGAAAAAAAAAAAAAGAAAAAATAAATAAAAATATCCCGTAGGGTAAATGCAGCAGAGAAATTCATCTAACGATAACAATAGTATAACCGTAATGTCGAATGCTTCCTTTATGATGCGAATCGAGTTGGTTTGGATAAGCCGACAAGTCGTACCACATTTCCTAAAATTGGACTCGCTTAGCGAGCAGAAGTGTTTGCTTTGCTGGGTCTAAACAAAACGCCTTTGTTTTCACGGAAATACGAAGAAGGGAAGGAAAGGGTGAAGACTGATAAGCTCACCCATATGAGATAAGGTTCCATCGTCTAACGTAATAGCAAGGTGTGGTTTTTGATAGACTATAACTCGAAACACAATGTGACTGTCCCTTTTCAAAAAAATAATATCTTATATATTTTGTTACAATTTTATTGGAAGAAACGTGATAACATTTTAATCATACGATAACATTAGAATTAACGAAGTTATCAAGATATTCAAGTATGTTTCACTAATAGTAAGTGTCAGAATTTTTCTATTAACCGTGAAAATGCGAAACGGAAGAGTAATATTACGATGATGGATGATGGATAGACCAAAGGTTACGAGTTGAGAGAAGATAAGAAACGAAGATCGATAGAGCCGTCAGGATATTTTCATCGAGCTTTTTTTTTATTTTTTTCTTTCTAATATTAATAACAGTTACGGAACTATAATTTTCTACATTTTTATCATCTAAATATCGTCATGTTGATTATGCCAACGTATATACATTATCGGCAGTTGGAAAAATATTTTGGAAAAAAACTATAAGTTTCGAGGATTATTCCAAAGATAATTTCAGCTTGCATTGATATCACGCAAAACGAAGAGGAACTCGAGGATGATGTGGGTGATGATTTCGCGGGAACTATCGTTAGGAAACGGCTTGGGGGTTATGGCACGAGCAGAGCTTCGATCACTGCATTTGATATCATCGTTGCCAACGGCTGGCTCGGTGCTACCAAGCTCATAGATTACAATGTGCTGCGCATACTGTGGCATCGATTGAGAAAGTGAGATAGATAGAGAGAGAGAGGGAGAGAGAGAGGAGGGGAGAGAGAGAGGGAGAGAGACAGAGAGAGAGAGAATGAAAGGGTGAGAGGACCCAAGGGGTGTAACGTGAGAACGTGGCGAGGGAGGTTGCGGTAAAGACGATCGAGGAGATGGATGGAGAAACTACCCTCTTCTCTCGATCGTGCGCCATATGCAAACTCAGTAATAGGATCTATCTTCCCTCGATGATCGCTACCGTTTAACGCTCCATTTTCGAAGGTGTTCCACGATTCTTCCTTCCTTGAAGAATTTCTACGGGCAAACAAAAGAAGATGATAGATGATTTAATTTGACGAATAATATTGAAATTCTTTCCTTTCTTTTTTTGTTTTTTTTTCTTCTTTCTTTTTTTTTTTTTTTTTTTTTGAACGTTCGTTGGAAAATATTTGTTAATTTTTTATCCAAGTGATTATGATTGAAATAGTTGAATATTTAACTTTATACATTAGGATAAGCTCTCTAACGTCTACGAAAGCGAGTCGGAGAGGTGTTTAATGAACGACTCGACGTTCGTTCGTTCATCTATCTACTTTGAGAAACGAGCAGGCTCTCCATGACGCGAGTAATTACGAATAACTAGCCTTGTCGCAGTTACGCCGAGACTCGATGCTACGGTTAAGTGATAAATCGAGTCCGAAAGCACGTCATATATTGGTTGGTTCTACGCGCCGGAAATGTACTACACAGAAGCATCGAAATGGCGT